AGAAAGCTTTTGATGATAAAGTTGAAAGAATAAATTTAGAAGCACAAAACCGCAGTTCGGAGGTTGAGAGAAACTTTGCCGGTGCCTTGGAGGTTAGTTCTGCAACCTATCATTCCCTCGGTGGTTGATTCTTTGGATTTCTATTTCCAGTTATTTCTCAACACATTTCTTGCTTGGGAGTGTGATAGTTGATACTGAACTTCTAGTGCCTTCCTTCTACAGAAGGAGCGACTAAAATGCCAGATGGAATATATGGAATCTGTTAAGAAGCTGGAGGAAAAGACGATAGAAAATCAATGAAAGCATGGATGTGATGGCATGGCTTCATGGATGATAAATGTAATGGAGAGGTACTGGCATCAAGAACTGTACCTTCTGTGTCATTTAAATTCATGGTTCACCAGTTGGGCCCTCTTTTGTTTACAGGCATGCTATTTATTTTCAATTGCACAAGGAGTTATGCATTATTTTCCAACTTTACTGTTTACATATATATTAAGTATATTTATATCAGGGGTGGGGACTATATTCCTCATACTTGTTCTGAATGGGGAATTTGTTTCTTTCCAGTTCTGGAATTTTAATCCCCTAATCCATCCTTGTCGGCATGGATCGGGTTTGAGGGAGATTGACATCCCTATTTGTACATTAGGATTTTTGGCCATCATGTTCATGTATTATGATACTATATTTCATCATCATAATTTTCAGGGGCCTAGCTTTTCAGTAGTCGACGATGTTGCTGAGGTCAAAAAGCTGCTAGAGAAAGAAATTCATATGAGAAAGGATGCTGAAGAAGGGGTCAGCAAACGTAAGAGTCAGCTACGGCAGTGCACAGATTCAGGGGTATGCTCGATAAGTGAACGGTGAATACTTTTATATGCTCTAAGCTTCTGTTGACTTCTAGATAAGAAATTGATTATACGAGGATTTTTGGTGTACCAGGAAGGTGGTGATTCTGAAATCTTGAAGCTCCAACAAGCTCTGGCTGATAAGGTTCATCAGAAAAAGAAGCTTGAAGAAGAAATGATTGTATTAAGAAGCCAGATGTTACAACTGACTTTTGAAGCCGACCAGGTATTTGGATATTCAAAGTTATCATTCTTTTAAGTCCCTTACTTTGAAACGTTAAATATACTCTTTGGAAGGGTATTCTTAAATCAAAGGCAAGCATGTGCAGTTTATCGAAAGGAAGCTCAAATTCATGCCGGTTTTATTTTTATTTGCAAATGTAGATGAGGAAGTCTCTCGGAAGAAATGGATCCACCAACGCCTATAGTGCTCTAGAGTCTCCAATGTCTCAAGTTAGGGGCTCTTTAAATGGACATAAGACACCTGTTGCTGTCCTATTTGAACAAGGTGATAAAATAGGTATTCTGCCATGATATCAGTTAAATAATTTTTTGTGCCTGCAATTACTTATTGTCCTATCAATTTACCAGTTGGACCGCAAAAGATCTTAGCTTTGCTAGAATCAGAAGATGTCAATGTACGCATTCATGCTGTTAAAGTAGTCGCCAACCTAGCAGCCGAAGGTGAGCAGAAAACTCTGATTTCCGGTACCATACTTGATTTGCCCTGGATGGGTAGCACCTGAATTGGTGGTATTTCTTGATAATTTAGTCTTTATTTTGGAAATATTGTTTGAAGAAGAACCTTGAGTGCTAATTGCTTAATCTCGTGTCGGAGTGATTTTAGTTGAAACAAACCAGAATCGTGAGCAATAAATATAAAATATTAGACCCATGTATTTACCTTGTTTATAGCAACGTCACTAACCCCCTTGTGTTAGTTGGACAAACTAATATTTTCCTGCCTTTTTTTGTCCAAAGGGGCTTCTTATTCACCACTGTTATAAAAATTTAGTTCTTGTTATCGTAAAGCCCTTTTTATAAGTATTACCCACATGTAAATCTCTGTTTCTTGCATGATAAGCTTTCTCTTGTAAATGCTTAAATAAAGTTGTGTTATGTCTATGAGACGTGTTTAACTTGGCATTCGTAGCAATGAAGTTCACGTCCCATTTACTAAACAGAAGCGAACCGGGAAAGGATTGTCGAAGCTGCCGGTCTTACTTCCTTGCTGATGCTTCTCAGAAGCTATGAGGATGAAACTATTCGCAGAGTCGTAGCTGGTGCAATTGCCAATCTTGCGATGAATGGTAATTGTTCTTCAACATCGTCTCAATCTGTGTGCACCCGTCTTTGCTTTTAGTCGGTGTTACTGTTATTGCTCAAGAGTTTGGCTCCTTAATAGTTCCGACTTCTGAGTTCAAACCGCATTTGATCCCGAGGACCCTCAGACTCTACGCATGGTTGCCGGAGCTATAGCTAACCTGTGTGGGAATGGTATAGTCCTACATTTTCTTTTGTATCACCACTCTAACTGATAAGTATTGTGCCCTAAATTTTTGAGATTGTATAACCTTTCCTTCGGCGATTAGAGCAAAGAACTCTAACTCAAATAAATAAAAGAAATGAACCGACATGCGAGTAGTCGGATATATTTTAACCAATGTGTAAATGGATGCATTTATAAGTAGATACTATTGGGTTTTGGTATCATGATAGAATCATCATTATAATTGTGATTGCTATTATTGTATTACATGATCGATATCGAGCACTATGTAAATCATGAGCTTAAATAAAACTACTGCATGCAGACTTTCTTCATCATATCAGGTTTATTCATTTCTATGTTGCTTTGACTTTTCTTTTTAATTACACACGCCCAACACTCGTGTCTAATGCATATTCTGATATCACATAGACTCGATCTCAATTCCGGATAACATAGATTCTTTCCATGCATTATATATGGGTCTCCGCTTTCTGCCTCCCTAACATGCTCATCATACTTCTTTCCAGATAAGTTGCAAGCAAAGCTAAGGTCCGAAGGTGGAATTAAGGCCTTGCTGGGAATGGTGAGATGCGGACATCCGGATGTTCTTTCCCAAGTTGCACTTGGAATTGCCAGCTTCGCAAAATGTGAATCCCGTGCATCAACCAATGGTAAGTATTTTGATCTCCTTCTTGCCATTGTTCGGTTGTCTACTGCCTACTGGCGAAGTTCTTTTATTATCTTTTAGAGTGGACCGGAGTTGAACCCTATTTAAGCTATGTATTCTTTTCAAACCTTCTTTCACTCATTTAGCTTCGTCTCATCTTCCTTGAAATGGCCTAAACTCAGCTCTCTTGTCTTTCCTCTGCATGATCATATAACAATTTCCACCCCTGCCTCGCTCCAGGCATAAGAAGTGGTAGATCGGACCTTATCGATGATGGCGCACTTCCATGGATTGTGCACAACACTAACAATGATTCCGCATCTATTAGGAGACACATTGAGCTTGCACTGTCATTTAGCGCAACGTGGTAAGCCAAATTTCTTCCCCACTGACAAAAACCTCACACTAAACCCTAAACCCTGAACCTTTATTTTGAAATTGCAGAAGTAAATGTGAAGGACATGATAAGCGGGGGTGCCCTTTGGGAGCTAGTTCGAATATCACGGTATTCTTCTCGTGAGGACATAAGAAGTCTCGCTCGACGAACTCTGAATTCAAGCCCCGTTTTCCGAGCTGAAATGCGACGACTAGGGATAGAATTATGATTCGAGGTGAAGTCAGACTATCGATTTTTAACATATTAATTGTTTAATCTTAACGATTTGTTTCTGAGATATTACTGTATATACTATGATTTCACTCATTTTCTGATATATAATTAATTATATTTATTAACAATATTGTAGAATATGGTATAACTTGAATTTCATCCACCGTTTTAAAAAATTGAGAAGTTACTCCCTCTAAGCCATAATCCTTTGTACTTCACAAAAAAATGAAAATTATTCCATTCGATCATAAACACATCAACTTGGACTGTTAGTTTCTGTTAATCTGTTATATATAAATAACTGAGCCACTAGATTCTGTTAATTTCTTGTATATATTGTTGGACCGTAATTTTTCAAGCAACAATTTAATGATAAGGTTAAATAGTATAACCCGCTTAGACTATTTTCTTTTTAGTTTTCATAAAATATAAATACCAAATTTAGACAAATTAAAATATAGGGAGCGATTTCTATTTTTTATAAAATAAAAGGATGAAAACCAGAATTAAACCCACAAAGTCATTGTGTACTAGTTAGAAAAAATGAAGTGGTTATAGCCCGTATCATTAGGTCTGCAAACGAGCTTAGTCGAACTCGAGTTTTGTTGAGTTTGACTCGAATTTTAAAATAGAGTTCGACTCTAGTAGAAAATTCGCGAAACTAAAATTTTAAGCTCAACTCGAGCTTGAAACCATGAACTGAAGCTTGTAAAAGCTCGAAATGAAAAAAAACCTAACTCGATTAAAACCTCAAACTCAAACCTAAACCATAACTATATAAAAACCCTATATTGTATTTTTTTTAAATTAACACATAAATGTTAATATTATTAATAATTTATTTTTTTAAAAACGAGTCGAGTATTAAGTAACTCGTTTTGACTAGTTAAGAACTCAAGTCGAGCTTGAAGTTGAATTGAGTATTTATCGAGTTTTGACCGAATCTCACGATCTTTCTCGTTTCATTTACAGTCATACGTACCATATCGTTGCATGCTATTTCGATGAACTAGTAACAAAAAATTTAAATTTGTTCTGATTAAATTTTTGACGTACATCGTTTGATTTTAATTAATATGTATTGTTATATGTCGATTGGTAATTTGGTATAAAATTTTAATATTTTAAATAAAATTTAACTTATTTTTATTTTTATAATTAATTTTAAAAATATAGTGTAATCAAACAACAACAATATCTACTAATACGATATTAGCTTAATTCGACGGATTTAAAAACACTAATCAATGTGAAATTAACTAGAACCCTTCGAATATTAATTATTATTAAGTAAAGGAGAAAACAAACAAGTGTGAACATGAGTGCATCCTACACTAATATGTTTATTTTTCAAATATATATATATATATATCCAGAAGATCAACACGCTTGAAGCAAAAGCGGACCAACTGAGGAGTTGAGCATATCACTAACAGCTAGCTGAACTTCATTTGAGCCATGCTCACAACTTACCAAGCCCGAAAGAAGAGGGAAGAACTTGGCTATGTTCTTCTCGAAAAATGCGTCCCCCAAGCTACACATGGTCCGCAGAGTCGTCACGACGAGAGGTGCACGTGCGGCGAGTTCTTTACGTTTCCCGGAACCTAAAGGAACCAACCACTGGGTTCGGCCATCGGGATACATCTCGGGACTCTGTTCGGAGCTTCCTGTTTCGATATAAAACAGTAACACCTCCTGGCATAGATCGACAAGATGTGACTCTACTTCAGCCTCGTCGAAACTCGGAGGCCTATCCGATATCAGATTATGCAAGAACGTGAGGCAAAATTGATACGACTCGTTCTCGAGACGCAATAGCGGAGGATCCTGCATTTGTGTCATGCGACCAAACTCTAGTATTTTGGTACGCAATGTAGCATCGTTGTTGATCTCGTGAGCATTGGATGCCGCATCATGCATTGCATCAAAGAGGACTAAGATGATCTTAGCCGAGAGGCGAGTTCGATACATGTTATAAATTTCCATTGCTGCTTGAACCAATAAAAGCTGAACAGCAGCTCGACACTTCACTTCGGACAAAGAAGCACGAAGATGTCGCATTCTCGGGCTCTCTGTATCATCACGAGACGAGCCGGAACCATGTGATGCCCCTTTACTTTGCTCATTGGGTGCATGTTCATTGCCTTCAAGTATGACATCCCCGCTAACAAAGTAAGAGAAATCAGGAAGTGTTGCGGTAACTGCTTCTTTTAATGAGGAAACAACTTCAAGCCACTGCTCCTCAATGAAATGATCACCGGCATTGCTCGTTAAACGTACAAACGCTGCAATTCCGATACCAGCTAGGCTTTGGTGAGGACGCTTGACGAAACTTAAGAGTATAGAAAGAACCTTCCTTAAAAGTGGGTTGACGGTATGATAAAAATTCGCGAAAAGATCAACAAGTAATTGAAGGGCCAGCGTACAAGACTCGTAGAGCCATCCATCTTGATCGATCTCGGTCATGTCCCTATCGATTCCCTGCTCAGTTAGGTCATCACCTGATGGATTAATAGCATGGCACACGTATTCGAATATTGGAAAAAGGACAGATTCGAACACTTTTTCCCATAAAGGTAGTGAGAACAGGTGACAATGGTTGCGCAAAGTTTCGAACAGCACTTGTAAAGCACTCTCCCTAATCTCAGTTCTAGGATCAAAGCCAAGTTTCGATAAACCTGCACAACGAAACGCTATGTAATTGCAGAACATAAATGCATTTCTAGAGCATGAAGATTCGAGCAAATTCAAATAACGAGTGACATCGAAACAAGGAGTAGTTCATTTCTCCTTACCGGCCAACAAAGGTAACCAAAAATAGAGATGATCATCCTTGTCCATCATCTCTCCATTTTCTTGCCTTCCATTACTTCCCTTGTGAGGTGAGGATTGAGAAGTATCCCCTGACTCCTTATCCTTATTCATAGATGAGGAGCCGAGATCTCCTTCGGCGAGTTTCGAGGCACAGAATCGCAGAAAAGAAATTGCATTGAGACTAATGTCTTTGCTGAATCTATTGTTGGTGAATGCAATTAGGCAATTCACACAATCTGTGAAGGTGGTTGTTTCGGTTTCGGTTATGTATGGGAAGTTGTCTCGAATTATCTTTTCTGTTATTTCAAAGGCTAGCAGGATAATGTTCTTGTGGCTGTCATAAGCTGCAGTAGTGAGAACCTGAAGAAAGATTTATCAGTTCAATAGATTAAGATATGAAAACTATGATATATATGATAGTTATAAAAAAAATCAATACCATGAACATGCTCTTCCACCCTGATTTAACATGATGGACTCGAGATGACACCATCTGAGAGACACATCTGATGATTAATTCTCGGATTTCGACAGCGCTAGTCTTCTGCATGGCAATAACAAAAGGCTTCATGAATTCATTCTGGAAATTATAATTGGCCAACTCTTCTCGCTCCAAAAATTTCATTGATAGCTGTCGTAAAGAGTCCATGGCAAAAATTGCAATTGACAGGTTCTCTGAACAGCCAATGGTCACGAAGAAATCAGAGAGGACAAGCCAGATGTTTGACCATACCAGTCGGATCCGGTTCATGTTATAGTGCCTGTAGATCAGAAAAGTTGCAGTCAAGAAGCATAATCAAATTAACTGCATTAAGATTAGACCACAGGAAGAGAAGGGGGATGATTCTTACGCAATCTCGACAATTTTCGTAAGGCTAAAAACCCGAGGGTCAGATGTAGATCGCAACTCCTCCATGGAAACCTTGCAGAGAGCCCTAACAAAGTCTATGATTGCCTCGCTATTCAAGTTTTGGCTGCGTGTGAATATACGGTTCATTTCAGCGCTTCCAACTTGTTCTAACATGTTGAGGTTAGAGACTAAATTGTTCATCTGTTCAGATGTGATTGTCCCAATGGTACCTCCAATACCAGCACTATCATATGAGCCCCTCATCACAGCAGAAGCGGCATACTGAATTCTTCCCGAACCCTTCTTCTTTAAAACGGGAAGGACGGGCGACTTTGCTTGCTTAGATTTTTCTGATTCATTCTGAGAAAAGGAAAAGAAAGTAGCATCTGGAGGAGCACCCTCTCCCAAGAGATGCAAATGCTCAAACCTTGACACGCACATCAAAACATGCTCCCAAGCTTCCTGTAAATAATCTCCATCTTCATCTGCAATTGTAACTATTGCCTGTTGTAAAAGGAAAATTTTATATTAGGTCCACAAGCAAAATAGAAAATTTTTGAAGAGTTCAAATATTGGGGCTCACTAACAAAATGTTAATAGCAGAAGAAGCGAAGTACTAACCTTGATTGCGTCTATATTTTTCTGCTTTATATCTGCAGGAGAGTGAAGTGATGTAAACTTAGCTAATGAAGTCACAAATGCATCTCTATGAGTCTTCATGGACATAACAGCAGTGACGTGTATTGCACGGCGGAAGCCTTCAATACATAAAGACGTCACTACTTCATCATCGCTTCGGTCAAGTGGCACACTGAACGCAGCCAACATAGGAGCCCAGCATACCTCGACCATGAATCTCAGAATCACCACATCTGTGGCTGCATAATAAACTGACCTACAAATTGACGGTACAATGGAACAATAATATTTACAACATCTTAACACATTAATTAAGCTTAAACCGCATAAAAAATTGATGAAAATATGCAGAATTTCGTTGTATTCCAACGAAATACCTAGGCATAAAGGAGTTTCAAAAAGAAAGACCTAGTAAGATGGTTATGCTAGATAAAGTCAAACACGAATCTCTGTATGGTAGGGCATCAACATAAAAGCTCAAATGCCTGTTGATCTTACTCGGATTTGCGAGCTTTCTCTTTAAATTGTTCTTGCATGTGCCTGATAAGATCATCACTGGTCTCCATATGCTGGTCTTCGTCGTGCTTGCGTATAACAAGATTCAAGATACTGTCTAGGCCTAAAATTCTGTTGGAGTTCACTGATTGTTTCTGTTGCACAGACCAATCATCGTCTTTCATTTTGATCTCATTTCTTGATATCCTTTCAAATAATGATCTTAAGTACTCTTCTGGCAAATCTTTCCCATCATCTATGCCACGATTGTTTGTTATGAAATCTTCAGCTGACATCTGTACGTTTCAATTTAGGAAAAGGGAGAAGTTGATCAATTTTCAAGTACTAAATGGAAACAAGATTAGATAGAGAATGTATATGCACCTTGTTTTTAACCATAGGGTTATGAGCATCAGTATTGAGCATTATGACAGAGTAAGCGAGGACATATGCTGTATCAGCACTGATGAAAGCCTTTGAGTTACATTTGCAATAGCGCTCGGCGAACTTTTCCATGATTCGGTCAATCTTTTGTGCCTCACCAGGTAATCTGAAACCTTGCAAAAAGGCTCGGATTGCCTCATCGAACTCCATGCCTTGAAAGTCAAAGGAGTCAACATAGGCATGCATCACTTTCAAAGGTAAATCTTCCCTTTCTCCAAGATAATCACCAATCAAGGTTTTCTTCAGACCAGATGTATTTTTAAGAAAAGCAGCTATCTCCTCCGGTGAGTCACCAACCTTTTTTGCTTTGATAAGAAATTCAATTCCGTTTTCAGGCTTCCGATTAAAAAGAGATATACCTTCCTGCCAGGAATTTTATATAGAAACATGATCAGATAAAATGAAGACAGACCAGTTTACCAGACATAATCTGGAGATATACCAGAAGTTCTATCTTGTAAGCTCGACGTTGCTCGATTGTTAAGATGCCAGAAGCTTCATTTAGGGCTTCAGAATGAGAACCTGACCCTTCAACGGGCTCATCCACATTCCCATTCTCCATGGGGACAGTTCCAGATTCAAGACTGTTCTCAGCTACTTCAAATCTCTTGGGAGAATCAGAATCTGGAATGCGCAACTGACTGTTCATCCAGTCTCCCATTGATTTTAAAGTAGCCACTAAACATTTTATAGCTTCAAGTTTCATGGTTTCTTGCTGTAGAGGCAATAATGTTGTCGCTGTACCAGGAGGAACACCTTGAGCTGTTTTCAGAAGTCCATTGACCATTCTGGAAAGATTCGTAATGAAAAAAATGGGAAATATTCAAAGCAATTAACTTATAACAGACGAAGTTTCTTAAGTTTGATAAAATTATAAATGTAGGGAAAATACCTCTCAAAAATGTTTGATGAATTGACATCACAGTCATAGTTAATAAATATATCTACTAAGATTTGTGAATCAACACAAAGTTTGTCCAGGAAATGTAGAACTATCATCTTTTGCTTAAAATTAGGCTGAGCAATATTTTCCAAGACCCTCAGAACAATCATAGGAAAAAATACTCCAATCTCGGCTTTCAGGCCAGCTCGAAACCTCGACACCAGACTAATGAAGATGGAGCAAGAAAGCTGGAAAACAACCATAAGAGTTGAAGCACTATTCTTTAACAGTGACAGACACAAGTACTGCTTTATGGCACCTAAAAACCTGTACCAACAAAAGCATTTACTCCAATAGGAAAATTCAAGTTCAGGATAAAAGTATCAGGATAGGTAATGCGAGCAAACAAAAATGAAATGCGAAATAAAATATAGTCAATTTTAATCAAGGAAATTGACGATATTATACATAGGCCGTCTACTATTACTACTAAAAATGTTAAGGCGTGAACAAAAAGAAGTGATCTCGATATAAACATAAAATAAAATCTCAAAGACAAATACAGAACTAAAGGTGGTGCTGGAATATGAATGCAAAAACAATGTTATTGAAATCAATAAGAAAATGCACCACCGCTGTCCAGTTTAACCAGAGGTTGGAAGTTGGAACTAAATTGATCAATAAAAGGACGCTTCCCTGAACAAGTTGCTAAATGTACAAAGGGTCCACAACCACAAGACGACAACAAAATATGATCTAAAATATCCAGCAAAGTCGGAAAAAAGCCACCTCAGATGTTTCAAAATCTAAAAATATGTAACAATGGTTTTGTCGACCCTTGGAGACTTATCATCTAAGTGTTTATACCTTACTTTTGTTTCTGAATATAAACTAATAACCTATATTCAGCACATACTAAAATCTATTGAGCAAACTAATATTAAGAGGGCATATCAAGAGTTGCACATCATATTTTTCATAAACTTGAGTATATGCAGAACTAAGCCTCAAGAATTAGAAACTTTTGGAAATGCTAATTAGAAGATCAAATAAAACCAAAGAAATATGTGCAAAGATTGAACAAAAATTATACCTTTCACTTGTTCTAAAAGAAGCCCCAGCATTTTCCAGAAAAATCTTCAACAACTCCAGTGCCAAAATCTTCCCTCTCAGCAACTGGGGATCGGCCAAAGCCTCTTTAGGTGGTGTCTTCATCGACAACTTGCAAAGTGCTCTAAAGACCAAAAATGCATCCCGTCTTAACTTATTCCCTATCTGTACCTCCAAATCATCATCTTTCTCTGTTTCATCATCTGCCAACTCCCCTTTCCTCCCTTCTAATGCCGTCTTATACATGCTAATCTCCCAATATTTTGCATCCAGCATATCCTTATCAGTAGAATCCAGCAAATCGGCAGGATTCGTGGTTTCAACGGTAGTAGTGTCAAATGCGCCATCATGGACACCTAAAGAAACCTTACTTGGTGTCACTGGATTGAACACTCCATCAATGTTCTGCACAATTTTAGTTATAAACCCTTGAACAAAGTTAGTCGTTGATCCATCAACATTTGATTTCTCAACCGGTCCCATCAATTCAGCCACTACAATTGGCTGAACTGGAACTGTTGAAGAATCCTCCTCCATTCTTCTAAAGACAACAACTAACATTTGAATCAATGTAGCTTTCGCAGTCGTTTGATTAACGGTATTTTTTGTCTCCAAGTAAATATCATAAGATGTTCTCACAGTTCGCAACAAACAGTCTCCGTGAATTCGCAGTGAGAAGGAAGTTACCGCAGTTAGAAGCGTTTTCAATACCAGTAATTCAATGGCTTCATCACCTAAAATGTGGCATTGACATACCGAATCAATCAATTTGGCTAACAGCTGAGGCTCGGGCCCTCCAGTGGGGTCCGCTTCGCCACGCAGGTACCCGTGTGCAATTAACTTCTGAATGCAATCAATGGCGGGATCGACAATCTTGTTGAAGGAGGTGGCACAAGCGTTGATCAGAGGGCTGAGAATGGATTCCGATTCAGCGAGGGAATACTCCACTTGGCCTCCGTCGTTGATAGGGCCAGGGATCGAGTTTTCCGGCTCTGAATCCGTCGGCGATAACGGCGTCTTCACCGGAGAAGTGAGTTCCTTGAGAAGAGATTTGCATTGGTGAGAGAGTTTCGAGTGCTTCCGCCACGAAGCGCCCTTGATGATCTTCTCTAAGGCAGGGACTACCAATTGGCTAACGCGGGAATCGGCTTCCGCAGAAGACATTCCCGAGTCGAATATAACTCGTCAATCACCAACTCAGAAGATTTAGGAAACGGTTAGTGAAATGCTTCTACGTATCATTTGATCTCCCTTTTGAGCTGTGTTAATTATCCGAGTGAGAAATGGAGTCGGATTAACTCACTAAGCCTACACTACACCACCATTGCCATTGATCTAATTGCATAAGAATTACAAAGAAAATACAATGCGAGAGGGAAAGGCCAAGATCCGAAAACTGAGCTGATCTTTTTTTTTTTTTTTTGGTAAACAGATTCAAGAGGATTGAGATTTAGATCGCATTTTTAACTGAATTTTATCAAAATTCAAGCTAGAAAACCAATGTACTGAAATGCCCTTGTTAGTAACGGCCTAACTAACTGGCGGGAGCTGCAACAAAGTGGAAGCTAACATGTAGAATGGTGACGTGTAATCTTGTGATACGAAGAAGGGCAATCAGGGTATTTCAGATTAAGAATGGTGATCGGGAAGGCCCGTCCCGGGCTACGGGTCAGGTCGATTTTTTGTCGCATCGCCTCTAATTTAAAAGTTGAAGTTTTTCAACCGATTACGAACTATCTTGAAGTTTAATGATATTCTACTCATTTCGAAGTCATCTCAATAACCTAATCCGATCTAATTTTTTTCATTTTTATTCAACAATTAATCATGATGTTATTTTTTTTTTATCAATTTTGTATAAATTCGATAGATATAATAATATATTTAACCTTTTCAACATCCATCTATTATATCATTTTGAATCTAATTTTAAAAAAGTTAAATGTAACTTTTAATATTTGTATTGACATTGAATTTTTAAAATTTGGATTATTTTAACAAATATATAAATATTAAGGTTAAATTTGATATTTTATTAATTAAATTATATGAAATTAACAAAATAACAATAAAAATACTATTAATTATTTTTATTTGTTCACTTTTAAAAGTGTTAAGATTCAATTACTCGGTTTAGGTTGCTCCCGAGTCTACTAATTTTAATCTGAAAAAACTTCGAACCATATTATCGAGATTTTTATCGGTATTAATAAAAAGAAATATATAGTAGATTGAAATACGTTTAACCACAATTATCTTCAATTTAAGAATTATGAGGTAATTTGAATGTTATAATTTTATGTTGATAAGACGTATCCATTGACTGAAATATGTGGCTTACATCTCTGAAACTACAGGCTCTCTTCTTTCTTTAGATAAATGAGCTTGTTCGAACCGAGCTTCGGGTCTCAAATTTTGAATCGAGCTTTAGCCTCGAATTTCGAATCAAATTTCTTACAACTTGAACTCGTATCAGCGTACAAAATAGCATAGTATCATACCCTCATTGCAAAAATTGGATTTTGTACACATTTCATTAAAATTTGAAGGTTTTTTTTAAAAAAACATTGAAGATAAGTTGAGCAACACACCATCCATGAACCATTATCCAAATCCTATTTTTGCCTAACAGCCAACATCTAGAAAGATAAATTAAACCGCAATGCATGATTTGAGTATCAGAATACGATAAAAGTAGTTCGATACAAGCATCGGACAAGGTATAACAGTCATTCCATCGATTCAAGAACTCACACATCTATAAGAGATGTAATCCAGTTCAGAATGGAAATTTGATCAATCTTTCCTAAGTTCCATGTATTCCCGACGGATACCATCAGCATTTATGACAACAATTTCAAGTTTGTCTCCCTGTTAAACATCCATGGTGAATACAAAAATAGAAAAGAGTTAGAGATGGAATTGAAATAAGATAAATGAGATTGAAGTTTCATTCCCCAGGGCCTGATTATATCCCGATAAGGTGATAAAGCCAAGACAGCAGCAGCCAAGAAGGGAGCTGATCTATTTCGAGCCACTTAAAATCTATGCTGCACAGACTCGAGTGTGACTGTTGGTAATGGATATTTTCCAAGTCTTTTTCATTTATCCAAAGGATATCTTTGGAGGATCCATCTCTGTTATTACTTAAGGCACTCATCCAACATGGTATGTTCATTATTTCCAACTTTTTCCATGTATTTGGAGAGTCATATCCCATACCCATGGCAAAAAAATGTCTGACACTACTAAGAGAGAAGTGAAAAGTCGGAGCATACCACTAGAACACAACCTTTCCAAGTTATCAAAACATAGTAACTAATTGAATGAGAACTTACAGTGTATATATCTCTCTCAGATGCTGAAGCAAACACAGTTTTCACCAAATCGACAGCTTCAGCTTCCACAAGTGGAGTAACAGCATCCTGCAAGACCATGGGTTTGAGATGAAAAAATGCAAAGTCTGAATGAAACGAGAAATAAAATAATTAGTCTCGGGAGGATACCTGGACAGGCAATAGGAGAGGACTGGGTGATTTCAGTTGGTTATCTAAGAAAGGCATGATGAGTGTGGAACCGGAACCTTGAGAGCTGTATCCAACCTTCTCATAGGAACCGACAGCATCATATGTGAAGACACAACCCTTCCCTAATGGTTTAAGATAAGAATATTAACTCGTATTCACGATACAAAGGCTTAAAACTAGAAACTAAGGCTCAAAACAGAATACCTTCATTATCAAGGCCACCTAAAACATTAAAAGAATAATAAGGAAAGAAGCGCTTGTAATAAAGGGTGTTGGACAGCAGTTGGGCCATTGCAGGGCAGCTCATTTGCTTGTTGTGCTGATGTTGATAAATCTGTATTTTGAGAAGCAACATTAAAACTGTGTATACATACACACATACATATATATACAGTATTATACATATGTTTACAAGAACTGGAATTATGATTAGGTTCTTAAATGTCTGGACGCTAAATCAAAATTACATGCCCTTCTTGTTTGAAATTATTCTAGTACAGTTAATGAGAAAGTTCAAGTGAAGCCAACATGCCCTTACCAAGTGCCTAGCTGCCAGTTGCTTTTGTAAAGCCTTCACATCGGCTTGAAATCCCGAGGATGCCATAACACATTTATCTGCACTGCAAATGTCAAAGAAACACTAATAATAAACCCCAAAAAAGAAACAAAGAAAATCTGAAACATTAATAAGTAAAGAAAATCGATCATTACAGACTATTACCCCCCCCAATCTTCACTAACACTTGCATTAATGAGGGAGAACAAATAAACTATGCATATCTTTTCCTTTACCTTGTGAGCTATTTGGTTATGGAAACACTGACATTGCTATCCTCTAGAGTTCCATAACTATAACATACACGGACAGCTTGTAGGAAAGCTTACCATTTTCTATTCCGCTATCTTAACTGGAAATAGAATAGAGTACCGGATTCTTTCAATCATTAGAGTCAAACTACTTTAAATATTACAATCTTCTTTAGCAAATTTCACCAAATTCCATAAGTTCCCCATTAAGAATCAGTTGGCAAGACTATATCTTGATGGGCAAATTTACAAGACTATATCTTCATAATACTGTTATTAATTGCGAAAAAAATACTCCATTGCCTATCCCCCCCAATTTTTTGGGTGTAAAAACAATTTAGGAGACAAATTAACTCTTCCCCAAAAAGAGAAATGAGTTTAAATACTTAATAGGCACTTGTAATTTTTATGTTAACTAATTTGGTCCCTCCCAATGTTTGATCCTGATTCCGTCCCTGACTAAAAGGCTATTACTTTCTACTCCAAATTTATACTATTTTCTATCAATTCTTGTTAACCTAAAAAACAAAGGGACTGAATAAAGAACATACAGTTTACAGATCTTGGAGTATTCGCGGGTCAGAATATTGTAACCGGTTGACATTCGAGTATCGGCTGCGATAACACAGTAATCAGCCCCGGCGATCGCAACACAAGATCTGGAATTTCCCAACAAAAAAAAAAGAAACCCTTCAATAAACAACGAAATCGAACAGGAAGAACAAAAAATAAACATGATTTCGCTCGGTCGATAGAAAAAAAGTGTACCCTCCATTGTTGTCGTAAGGAGACCAGTTCGCCTGTTGCTTGGTCATGGTGAACGGAGCAGATAGAGACTTAGGTCGACAAAGAGAAAATTAAAGAAGACTGTGATTTTGGTTTTCGGTTTTTTATGCATTAATTTCTTTCACTCAGATTTAACAACTCTGGCTTTGCCAACAAGAAAGGCACTCTCCTATTAGAATGGGCCGGGTTTAGGCCCATATAAACCAAACCAAACACAAAACCAGTGTGAGCCTTTAGCTGGTTTTATGAGTCGGGTCAGATTCGGATTTATGTTTTTAACATGGGATGCGAAAGGTTGGTTAAAGATTAAATTTAACATGTTCCGATCTAATTTGATTTTATATGATATTTATAAAAACGAGTTCAAGTTGAGGTTGTAACGATATTGAATTTAAGATAAAAAAAAATTAACTTGATCTTATATGAATAATTATATTATACTTATATATATTTAAAGATAATTATTATAATATTCATCTATGTATTTTTTTCAATTATCTTTTTACTTTACCGATTTGATTTTTAATATGATTTGAATGGTGGAATCAAATCTAGAGGTTAAAATCTGATATCCTTTTAATTTTCGAGTCAGCCGTCAAAAAATCGATATACCTTATAATTATTTTCTTTGAATGAAGCAAAGTCAAAGGATTACAAGATCAACGAGATCTTAAGACAGGAGATGATAGGCTTTAGCGTTATCTTATTTTGTGTCTTTCGCCGATGACACATTCTAATTAATCTGAATAACTATTTTAACAAGAGAAGTCATCATTAGAAGACTAAATTGTAATATAAGAGATAAATAAGAAAATGTATATGAACAAATGAGAAGTAGACCATGGTAAACAAATATATTATATTGATCCTTGTTACTTAAATTATAATTTGTTTGGACGTGGCTGCCGCTGATAGTATTTTCCAGTTCCACCCTAAGTGCAAAAGAGTGACTTTAACGCACTTATGCTTTGCAGATGATTTACTAATATTTTGTAAAGGTAATGTTGACTCTATAGTTGGGGTGAAATGTGTTTTGGAGAGATTTTATGAGATGTCAGGGTTGAGACTTAATGCTTCAAAGACTTAAATTTTTCTTGCGGGTGTGAATGATAATTTGAGGACTCTTGTGTACGAGGTTACTGGATTTAAACTTGGCTGCCTACCTGTGAGATACATTGGGGTCCCTCTTGTGCCTAGGAAGTTAACTGAGAAAGACTATTTTAGCATGGTGGAGAAAATCAAGGCAAAATTAGGACTTTGGTCCAACAGATGGCTGAGTTATGCAGGTAGATTGTAGC